GGCCATTGCATCTCAGGCCGAGGCCCGGGAGAACGGAGCAACTCTGTAGAAGCCATACTGTGAACGCAGACTCGGCGGCTCCCACCCACCTGGTAGATGGCGTAGCCGATGGTCAGCACGTTGGCGCCGAACCGCTTGAGTTTCCTGCGATCCTTCTGCATCAGGGCCACGAGCAGCGTGCACGCCTCCTGCCCGTCGTCCTTCTCCGTCAGGGACAGTCTGATCTGCGGGTTGGTCCAGAAGGTGTCTGCGTGGGGAAGAGGCGGGTGGCTTTTCCTCCTTTATTTTTTATTTTATTTTATTTTTTTATTGATTTTTTACAGAGAGGAAGGGAGAGGGATAGAGAGTTAGAAACATCGATGAGCGAGGAACATCGATCAGCTGCCTCCTGCACACTCCCTACTGGGGATGTGCCCGCAACCAAGGTACATGCCCTTGACCGGAATCGAACCTGGGACCCTTCAGTCCGCAGGCTGACGCTCTATCCACTGAGCCAAACCGGTTAGGGCGCCTTTCCTCCTTTAAAAAACCATGAAGGACACACACACACGCACACACTGCACACACGGATGCACATACATACACATGTATGCACACACCACACATGCACACACATGCACGCACACACGCATGCACACACATGCAGGACTGTGTGCGTTGTGTTTTCTGTTCCTCGTATTGGAAAACAACCCGGTGGTAGAACAAGGGTGCTTCCCCGAGCAGTTTCTGCTCAGCTTCCTGCCAGGTGGCCCCTGGCCCTCCTTCCCCAACCTTCCCTGAAGCCCTACAGTCTGGCCCCACGGTTCAGGCTTCCTCCAGGGCCCTGGCCCTGATCCATGACGTCCCCGGGTTGGACTGGGCACTCGGGGGTGACGAGAGAGGGGCAGGCAGACTACGAACCCAGGAAGTTGCGGCAGCCGCCGGCCGTGGAGCCGCGCACCCAGCTGCCCTGGTGCACCGTCACCTCCCACTTGTGAGGCGCGTCCTCCTCCAGGGCGTCCGGCGTGAGGTTGCAGATCTCGACCTTGTCGAAGTGGGCCTGAAAGTCGCTAAAGGCCATCCTGCGACAGAGCGGGGGACACGGTGCGTGGGCGGAGGTGGTGATGACGCGACTCACCCATCCATCCAGCCATTCACTCATTCATTCACTCATTCATTCATTCATTCACTCGTTCATTCTCTCGTTCCTTCCTTTATTCATTCACTTGTTCACTCACTCACTTATTCACTCATTACTGGCTGCCTCTTGGGGTGGTGCCTGCCTCTCGCGATACTGGCTCGGTCTACACTTTCAGATGCTCTCAGGGTAACTGCCTTCAGGCTCTCTGTCCCCAAGGTGGGCATAGGGGGAGGGGACCCCGTGAGCACCAGCCCCCCCATCTTCAAATTCACCCCCAAACTCCGGGCGGGCGCTCAGAGGAAGGGATGCTGGAGAGAGAGGCTCCACCCCACGCTCTCGGCACCCCACACTCTCAACAGGCTGAGCTCCCCCAAAACAGAACAGACCGAGCCGTCTGCCAACCTGGGTGCACATGGGGGAGGGGGGTTGAGACAGAGGGACTGGATTTACCCACGATAAACAAACACACAAATGAAAGGAGGGGAAATAAGTAGATGAGTAAGTCAAGGGATAAATGGATACGCCAAAGACGGGGGAAAGAAATGCCTAAGTAGGTGACGGTGTGCCCCTGGCCCCTGAGGCCGAGGCCAGCACAGAAATGGGGAGGAGGAGGCGCCGGTACCAGAACTCCCCGTCGTCCAGGGCCGCGTGGCTCAGGCGCTGCTGCTCGGCGGGGCCCACGGCGCGCCACTCGGGGGAGCTAGGAGCAAACAGCCTGCGTTAGGTGGCGGGCCCCTCCCTGGGGAGCCGTGTGTGCCACGCGGAGGGGATGGACCCTGGTCAGTGAGAGCTCCCTGGGCCCGGCCATGTGCCAGGGCCTGGGGCCGGCGGGCAGGTGCTCGTCCCCTCCCGGCAGCCGGCGGGAAAGGCCCTCAGGACCTCGGACACGCTGCCCCGCCAGCCTGGCCCGTGTGCCGTGACGGCCGAGGAGGGGGACCCGCCAGAGAGACGGGCGGACTGACCTGTCGCTCCAGGCGCCGTTCCACTCCACCTGCCCCCACGGGTTGCGGACCCTGATGAGCTCCGTTTTCCGGCCTCGGAAGTGGACCTGGAAGATAAACGCACCGGGAAATGCGAAATGACAGATGCCTCGCGCGCCCCACCTGGCCTGCCGGACCGCCAGCCTCTTGGCTACGACACGCTAAGGACACGCTAAGGACACATCAAATCTCATCCGTGCTGCACTGGCCCTTGGGGACTCATTCCCGCTGCACCCAGTGGCCAGCGCTGCCCGCGATGTCATGCGACCCCCCCGCCTCAGCAGTGACGCTGAGTCTGGGGGAATGAGGTAGAATCGTGGGTGAACAGGCCATTAGTCCACACGACTCTGCAAAGGAGTGGGCTTCTCTCTAGATGGGGGGCTACCCTTGAACTTGAAGGACACAAGTCTCTGAAATGCCTGAAAAGAGGCTTTATTCTTTTTTAAAA